ACACAGTTCCACTGCTTATTTTCCTCCCCATCGTCCGACATGACTGTTGTTATTCCATCTCCCGCCTGTCTGTTTAGACTGATGTCGCATGGTGTAGGCGAAAATGTAAATGCATGAATTCATTTCCGGTTTTCAAACTGCATTGTGTGGGGCTGTGTTTACTTTTTTTTTTCTTGACACATATCAATTTGCTGTTCATATTTGGTTATTGTCCGTTATAACAAACGCAGTCCCAACAAGACATGTGTGACAATTTCACCATTACAATCAGTTATTCCGGTGTTTCATGATTACTTTTCGCGATAACTTAAAACCGGTTTAGAATTACCGGTACATCGCCTTTGCATGATTTCCTCTGTAAATTACTACAATGCTAGTCAGATGTTTTGGTTATTCACCATCAGGGAGCTGATAATTCGACACTTTTACAGGAGCGACTGCGGTTCAGCTACCACACAAGCCAAAATCGGAATTAAAAACAAAAACATAAAACTAAACATAAGCAATTACAGCTAAATCCTATCTTTGGAATTTTCTTCATGTGCTCCATGAAGTGGCTATGCATTAATTGTCTGTTGATTGTAGCTGTACGGTGAACCTACCTTGGCATCCTCCAGCATCTCTTGCGTCTCTTCCTGCGTGTGACTAATGAAGACGTCACCGATCTGGTAAGGGATCAACAACGAGTCGTCGTCAAACATCATTAGGTCGTCGCTGGCGTCCTGCAAGTTCTGCAGTGACTTCTGCAAGGCAGGAGAGAACATTAGTGGTACGAATCACAGAGGAAGTCACCATATGATCACAATGTGCTGCTGTCGATGACAACAGCATGAAACAACAGCAAAATGTGTGCTGGTTGATGGTTTCAGGGAAAAACATTTCCCATACATGAAATTGTTCATGTAACAGACTACAGAGGAAAACGTCATGAGAACTTTCTTCAAATTGCATGAAGAAAAACAAAGTAGTTTTTCCCCTGAAATACAGTGGAGCCTCTAATTTACTCATGAGGTCATACAACTTGAAATTCAATTGAATTTTCAGAGAAACTAAACCGCTAAAGTCGCACAAGACTTTAGGTACTGTCTATATATTAATTCCTGGAGGATTTTATTTTCAAACTCCAAATATACATACATGAATTTTGACCAGCATTCTTGAAGCATATTGCATTTAACTGGAGCGGGCTATATGTGACACAGGGTATCCGGACTGACAGAATATACATGACATGATATAAATATATATGCCTTTGCTGATTTTGATCATAAGGGACGGAAAATGTGAGATGGTCTACATGTGTACGACTGTAAACCTTACAAGCGGACAGTGGACAAAACCTTGCAAAAATAAGACGGCTATAAACAAAAGCATCATGCTTATTCTCCGGCTGCTCACCTTCTTTGACTCAATTTCTTTTTTTAACTCTGTCATTCGATTCGTGCTCCTGGCAAACTTGTTGATCTTCTGCTGGTCCTCAAAAGTGACATTGACATCTTCGACACCCTGCAGTGAGAAAGAAGACACACAGTATTATTGAATCGGCCAAATGAACTGGGATTCTTTCATTAGTAAACACCTGCTTGGAGGCCTTAACTATTTTAATTATGTGTAAAGATATATTTATGGGTCTACAACACAGCACCTCAAAACCCAGAAAAAACACCGCACCTCATTTTATTCGATGGGCATGTTTTTGCGGGGCCTTTCCAGAGGTGTTGTCATTCGTGAATTTTAGCGACATGAGCATGGTATTACCATATTTTCTGAAAGATCCAGAAAATTACAGATATCTAAATGACAATCAACCCACCCGAATACAAAATGAAGTCAGACTGAAGACAGCAACTGCTATACAATGTGAATCTTAACGACGTACGTCGTTGTCATCCTGTTTATTTTTTCAAGGACAGTTAGTTTGAGCCACACCTCTACCACCAGAGTAATCAATAGTAATGAGGCTTTATAAAAATATCAAACCGCTGAATAATGTCGCAGTTATGTCTGGAGAGGTAAGTAGCTAGCTGTAGGTTAGCACATGCTGCTTCGATTGACAGGAACGTATGACCGCGATTTAAAAACAACGGAAGCTCGCTCTTGTACCACCGGCAGTTTCATACACAAAATACACATCCGTTAAACAAGTGTAGCAAATGTTTAAGACAAAGAATAATAATTGAAAATCAACTTACGCCAGTTGCCTTTATGGTTGCAGCCATCTTCATTTCCTCGTCGATACTGTGTGAAAACGAGTCTCAGAGTCGAGCAAACAGCGCCCCCACGCGCCTCGGTGGACCACAGCTTTTTTATTTTTGTTTTTTTTTATTATTACTATTATATCCTATTAATATATTTTTATTATTACCATTATTATTTATACTAACACAGACGTGGGCTGTAGCAGTAACAACCTCATGAAATGTTCTTCATGGCATGAATTTAAAAGGAGACATATAGAGCATTTTCCTCACAGTTTAAAACACTTTTAAGTTGCCTTAATAACATTTCTGTGGCATGATCCCATCAAATCTCAAGGATCAATAATTACGGACGAATTTATGCAGCATACTGTCTTGATCACTATCTTGGAATCATCTCCGCATCCTGCCTCATAAACAACGTCTGAGCTAATGGCAAGCCAAGCTTTAGTTCGGATTACAACCCCCCCCACCCCCCTTTTTTTTCTCTAGTCAGGTGGGAAGACAACGAAAGATTTATTTGGTTGTTTAACTTCCCAACTGGCAGCACGATAGCTAACTGATGAACCTCCCTGTTCAGAGGTTGTTGGTTCAAATCTGGGCTCCGGCCTTCTTGTGTGGAATTTGCATGTTCTCCCTGCACCTCGATGAGTTTTATCAGGTTTCCTCCAACAAAATCATGCCGTTTTGCTGGTTAATTGAGGACTGTAAACTTGTCCGTAGATGTGAATGGTTGTTTATTCCACTGTGTTCTGCAACTAGCTGGGAACCAGTTCAGTGTGTACCCTGCTTCTCACCCAAAATGAGCTGAGAAAGGCTCCAGCACACTCATGACCTGAGTGAGTTAAAGCGGGACGGAGAAGGGATGGATGGCGTTTCGCACATGATGGGTGGACACTCACAGAGACTCCACTATTTGAATACAAACATTAACAACTTTCCAGTAACTAATGTGCTCTATTTAAGGTGTGCTTTAATGGTTTTTTAAATTGTTTATATTTTTGTGAAATTTAAATGTGACACTGTTCATACATGGTGCTGACAGGTGTTACTAAATGAGTGCACTGTCAATATTCTTCCAGCAAACAAGGACTGCACCCAAGCTCAAATATTTACCGGACATTTGTCAAGCAAGAGCAGCATTAATCCTGTCTCGAATATGTGCATGTGATCAAGGGAAGATACAGTCGAACCCCGAACGTCAAGCACATTCCTTTGCATGACGCTTGGCTGCGTCAGTCCAGCAGCATTCTTAGTATGGAAGTTAACCCCCCCACCCCTTCACCCCGGAAAATATCCCACTGTACAATAAAATTAAAATTAAGTAAAACTAGTGACTGTGAAAGCCTGATAGACTTGTTCTTTACAAAAACATCTGCTTAGTAAAATCTATTTATGTGTGCAACAGATTTAATTAATTGTATCGCTTTGACTGTAATGAGCAGGGAGACACTTTCATGTTTCATAGCAAGTTTTGCTTCTAACTCTATGGTTACAATATCATCACACTTTTCATCAATAGTACATTTTTGCAGAGGCATAATAAAAGAATCCAAAGAAAAAGCAAAAAAAATCCTGGGTTAGGGTTGTGGTAATTGGTATGTGTCGTTTGCCGTAAGTTCTTATACAAAGAGCACACAATCCAGACGGGGGGAATCCAACTCCCACCTTCATGTGCACGCCACATGCCACAATTGGTGCATTGTGCTCAAGCATTCCAACAGCAAGCATCAATACAGCGCATTTTGGGTCCATAAAAAAAAAAAAAGAAAGAAAAACATGTTTGTTTTTCTTCCACTGTAAATGACGAATGTGGATGTTTGCTTCTGAGACAATCAAAACAAACGTTGAAGAACTTTTGCCCCCTCAATCACAAAATTTTCACAATTTCCACTGCTAAAAAAAAAACAAAGACTGATAAAAGGAGGAAATCAGTTGATGAGCTGACGTCTTTGATGGCTGAAAGGTTTGCACTATTGATGTATTGATGTCCGCGCGCCCCGCAGGAAAGCATTGTGCAGTCTTTAACAGGACAATGTGGCAGATGATCTCATCACAGAGCTCTCTGTCTTTTTTGATGAGCTCTGATCAAAAAGAGCCATTACTTGCACTTGGCAATCCACAAACATCTTTGCTTTGAAATGGAATAACATCACGTTAGATATTTTAAGCCACATGTCAGTTTTGATTAAATGAAACTGGAATTTTACATTTAAAAAAGAAACTGAGTCAAATGCTTAACTGTTCATAAAACCAAACGAAAATAGCACCCATCCATCCATTTTCTGAACCGCTTTATCCTCACAAGGGTCGACCGATTACGGTAAAAACAAAATTCCAGAGCTCGCAAAATGAGTAATAAAACTGCTGGAGAGCGCAAATGACGGCGGCGTTAAAAGTACGTTCGAGACAACTGGCGCCCTTTTTCCCCCCAGGGGGGCGGGGGGGGGGGGGGGGGCTGCAGCCTATCCCAGCCGTCTTCGGGCAGTAGGCGGGGGACACCTTGAACTGGTTGCCAGGCATTTTTTTTGGTTTGGAAGTGTGCTGTTCTTTGTTCCCTTTCCCTGATCGACATTATGTTTCATCTTTGTATAATGTTTTCAACCATAATGGTGTGTGTTACTGTACTTCATTTACACATATTATCAGAAAAAATACTCCTTAAAATAAAAGTTTTGATTATTTTTAAAACTAAGCTAAGCTTTATTCTTGACCAGTTAGCAAATCAGCTAACCCACTTAGCATGTACTCGTGAGCAAAAATTTTAACCTGAGCATTTATTTGGAACCCCGTTCCTTGCAACCCAAAATGTCCTCCAATATTGAAATCACCGACCTCTCTTTTACATTTGGTGAATGTAATAATATGGAGGAGACATGCTGATCATACTTGGTGATGTGGCGTCCCATATAAATATCCTCAATACACATACTATTGGTTTCATTACTGGAGACTGAAGAGGGCTCACACAGAAATCAGCTTGAACTAATCATGTGCCCGTCTTTTGGGCCTTTCTCAGAGAGGCAAGCTGATTGATTACTTGAAAATAGGCCCACCCATTTACAAGATATATAATGGCCTGTCAACAATAGTCGTAAGCACAGTTAGGCCGGAGCGGCGAGTCCACCCCTTTTGACAGGGCGTCACTCTACTTGTTGTCTTCCAGAGGTGGATCTCATTTACTTTGACCTGAAGGGCAGCTTTGGTAAGACAGTTGATTCATGTTACACACTGTATGAGCAAATACTAAAGTTACTTATCTACTATTTTCCCTTGGCTCTAGTCAACCTGCATCTTTTGGTCTTAAGTATGGGGAATGAGCATTCCAAGAACAAAGGTCCAAGCAAGGTAACATGGCAGGAATGTAGCAATTCACCTTGTAAACTATTTAAAAGTAAAGATAAGCATGACAGATACTGGATGAAGAATGATCATTTTATTTCTTTGCATATTACCATCATCATGTATTGGAGCACTTCTTAGGGAACGTATCCTTCTTGGTATTTCACTTTGAGAAAATTGTTGTGTTGCCATTTTTTTTAGCTTTTCACTGTTTCTGTACTATTTGTTCACAGATCAGTCAGTGTGATAAAAATGGAGGACTGAATGGCCTGGCAGCAAACATCACAACCAATGGATTGGACATTGATGGTGAGTTTTTGATTTTAAGATTGCAGTTGGACCTCAGAGGTCCGTATCACTGTTTTGTTGGTATTTGTAAACTTATGTTTCCAAGAGCATTAAAAAAAATAATAATTGAACATTTATTCCAGGGTCAAACTGTATTACGGGTTTTATCCTTATTAGATGTAATATCATTAAGTATAAAAATAAGATCCGACGGTTCTTATTGACAATATTTTAAAAAACCAAAACAATGAACGTGTAGTGTATGCTGAGTTGCACTCATGTCATTTTTAAACCATCTTAAATGCCAAACCCCTGCTGGGATTACAGTTTGTCAATGGTGTTTAGCTTTAGCTATTCTATTGCATTTGTAATTGTAACGTTGAAAACTGTAGTTGCTGAGTTAGATCGCACATAATCAGATTTGTCTTTTTTTCCCGTTCTTTTCCAAACGTCAAAACACATGATCTGTCTTTCAGTCGTAAACAAATCAGCCTTCAAAGTCCAGAATGAGTAGGTCCTTTGGACTTTTAAATGCTGGGTAAACAGTGACTGTTTCTTGTACCCTCTATTGTGAACTATAGGCGTAGTCTGTAAAATAGACTATTTAACCTGTCATGGTGCAGTTACTGTCCCTGCAGAGAGAATCATCCTGTGAGATGATGTTGACACAGTGGTGATCTAGCTAATCTCGTGTTCTTGGGTTGACCAGCCCATGTTTACTTCATGGAGAATTATCCACATTGATCCTTTCAAAGGATAGATACAGTACTGTAGTTGTTATGCTATGATTGCTGTAATAATCTGCAAAAAAAAAGAAGATGCTGTGACAGTTCACTTTGAAGTAAAATCAGACCAGTTTAATTCATAACATTTAGAGAAGAACAAAAACACAATGGGTCTGATTTACTAAAATTCCCCAAAAAGCAAATGATAATTTGTGCATTCACCCTTAAAAGATTGCATGCGCTATTGGTGGTCAAGTTGTTGATAAGATTGTGATGTTTTACTGAAATCCTAAATAGAGGGTATTAAATTGTGTGTTCAGTCATTGACAACATATATAAAAGTAGTGGAGAATGCCATAATTCAAAAAGGACTTTGTGTTTGGGAAGAACTGAGCAAACGCAAAATGAAGTTTGAAGTAATGCAATTGGAAGTGTTAATAACAGAGCCAAGCAGACACACTGTGTTACTCAGTTACAAAAAGGAAAACTATCACTGATAATTTGGTTGAAGCCAGCAACTAGTTTAAAACCAGGATTTGTTCTTTTTGAGTCGCTCAGAGTGCGTGTGACTTTAATGTATCTGCCAATCCTGTATTAATGATGCATTTAAAATTGGGAGAGCATACCAGAAAATCTGCTATGGAAAAGACCAGCACCGATGGTCACAGTGTGCTGAAATCAACAGACTCAGGTGGAAGGAAATGCAGAGTTGAAAGGAGTTTGACATGGCATGACTCTTCTTGTGACTCGAACTCATTCAGAAGCTTCACTATTCCATTGCTCAATCGACGATATGACAGAACAATTTTTGTGTCTGGCATTCCAAAAATGTTTACACAAGCAAAACAGTTCTCCCTCCAGCATCTCATTTTGCCAGCGCTATGCTGGCACCATTTTAAAATATCAGCCACTGCAGTTCCTTAAAGGTTTGATAAATCACGTTGGGTGGGCTAGCATATTTGTGTATACTCCTCGCAAAAGGTGCAAAATGAACGGTGTGTCAATATTGTCTGTTAGGCAGACACATATCCTGGGTACGCCCGTTTAGTCGATCAGCAGCTACATCTGTTTGTGAGAGAAATCATGATCGTCACTGTTTTCGCAAGGGCAAACCTTAGGTAAATTCATCCCAGTGCTATATTTTCTTTGTTGTTTACCAAAAGGTCTGTTGGGTTAATGAAAGAAATCATCTTGAATGTTTACAAAAACACAACGTTAGGAGTGTCAAAGACAAATGAATAACTGATCTGTTCCACTTTATTAAAATGCCAGAAACAAGAATTATTCAGTCATAAGACAGAGGCATGCCATATTACCGAGGTTACTTAAAAAGCAATACAGAACTAAATTCTGTGTAAAACTACTTTTACACCTGTTGAAAGTTGTGCCACAATCTCAGTAGATCACATTGCACCCAGCTACAGTGCATGCAATCTGTCAGATTGAAGTAGCATCTGTTGCCTGTGATCCGAACAAACTAGGCCGTAAGAGTCTTAATGGATAGATGGATGCATCACAGCTGTTGATCCGTGATTTGGATGGTTTCATTTGACTTTCTTTTTTTCTTTTTAGCCAAAACTTTGAACCAAAACCAACAAAATGGCAAGGCTGCAGCATTAAATTCCGCCACAGAATCTGACTATGTGGTGATCCACTCGGACAGTCAGCAAGTTGAAGTCATACCCGAAAAGCCGGCCACCACCCCTGAGACAGAAGAGGCTGACAAACATGAAGAAAGAGTGCAACTTTTTGACAAAATCTTCAAAAAGAAAGCAGAACGAGAGGCACCGATTGAGGCAGAGAATGTCGTGGAAGAAGAGACCCATCAGAATATTGTGAGAGATGCAAGTCTTCCTGCCACTGACACACAGCTGGTGAGTATTTTCCACGTGAGGGTTAGGGTAGGGAGCCACGTTTATGGAGACGGTTGTGCTGCATTCTGTTGGGATAATTTTGGGGGCAGGGTTACGGCCAGGGTTTCGGGTTTGTTTTTAACTGCAATGAGAAAACAGTTCTGAGGGAAAGGTTTGGGCTCAGGTTTTGGGTCATGTAGTCAGGTTTCTTGTGAGTTTAGGCAAAGGTTCTAATAAGTTAGTGAATTATTTTGTGTATAAATAAAACACTCTTTAATTAGTCTCCTAGCAAAGGAAATTTAAAAAGTAATTCTGTGGACAACCATTGTTGTCTTGTCCATCCATCCATTCATCCATTTTCCGATCCGCTTATCTTCACAAGGGCCGTGGGGGGGCTGGAGGCTACCCAGCTGTCTTCGGGCAGTAGGCGGGGTACACCCTGAACTTGTTACCAGCCGATCGCAGGGAACACAGAGACAAAAAAAACATTCACACTCACAATCACACCTCGGGACAATTTAGAGTGTCCAATTAACCTACCATCCATGTTTTTGGAATGTGGGAGGAAACCAGAGTACCCAGAGAAAACCCACACAGGCACGGAGAGAACATGCAAACTCAACACAGGAAGGCCGGGGCCCGGAATCAAACCCATGACCTCTGTACTGTGAGGCGGACGTGCTAATCAGTCAGTCACCACCGTGCTGCCACATTGTTGTCTTAAATTTACATACATTTATGGTAAGTACTGCCACCAACATTTTACCTGTTGAGTTTTCATCATGAACAACACTGTAACTTCTTTTCAGCAAAACAACAGAACAGAAATAGCAGCCCAAAATGAGTTTCAGATTGTGTGTGTGCTAATGCTTAAGTACTACACTTCAGATGTTACAGTCGCTTGCATGAGAGAGGGGGAATACAGGCAAGATTTGTGACAAAAATAGCTGTGATTTGAGTATCTTTAGAATTGATTACCGGTAATCTTAATATAGCATGTAGAAAAAGAGACGCAGAGGACAAGTGTCTTTCTTTACAGTTGTGAGATTTGGAGTTTTAATCTCAGCTCCGACCTTCCTCTGTAGGTTTGCATGTTTTCTTTGTGGGTAGGATTTTCTGTGGAGACACCGCAGGTCTGAACGGTTTATCGATTTGCAACTGAAACAGTGTTCTCAGACAACGCAATTTCATGGTTTTCAAAGCTGTTTTTTTTTTTAAATGCGCTCTTATATCCCCCCCAAGCTCACCAATCAGAAACAGAATGCTATTGGTGGGCAGGTCACACTAACAAATCAGCTCCAAGCTGGTTGAAAAAGCATCACGTCAACGTCCCTCTGTCACCCATCCTCCCAGATTTTCTTGCTTTTGTGGCTGCTCTCGAAGGCCAGGCCCTAAACTAACTCACTCTGTATAATGCCAGAGAATCACACAACCTCTCTAGAGTCTGTATTTTATGAGAGTAAAAGATTTTAATGTTTTGATGGTTGGATGTAATTTTCTGTCTATCGGTTTATAAATGTTACAAGAAATAGGGAGAATCTCACTGAAGCCTGATAGAAGAATGTGAATTGAATCTGAATCACATTACCGGTCAGAAAAAGCACAATTCAATCTTTTCCTGAAACGATTAAGCCCCAGTACTTTTAAAATCATCAAGCCCCAGCTTTTTTTATCCTACATTACAAAAACATGCATGCTATGCTAGGCTTGTTGAATACCTGTAAATTTCCACAGGTGTGAATGGATATTTGTGTAAATGTACCTTGTGATTTACTGACGACCAAGGTGTACCCTACCTCATGACCAAATTACTGCTGCTATGCTGGTACAAGCTCCAATTCATCCTTGATCTAATGAGAACAAATGGATGGATGGAAAAAGGATGGATGGATATAGATAAAGTTAATTTAAGCATCAGCTCTAGTATGTCTTCAATAATCTGCCTCTGACATCAACTACCCTGCAAAAAAATAAAAAATAAAATAAACAGCCATAGACCAATCCGAACCTTCAGTCACTGGGCAACCCGCTCTAGACTCACTTGGTAGAGCGGGTTGCCCAGTGACTGAAGGTTTGGTTGTTTGAATCTAGGCTGTTTTGTTTTGCTGCTGGTAAGACCAGCACGAAAACACAATAACATCATGCTGGCCAATGCTGTTCGTGTTTTTTTTTTTCAAGCAGGGTACAGACATTTTATGTTAGTCTGTTGCACCTTCTCTTCTGAGGTTGCAATGTATGCGGCAATATACAGTCTACATCCTGCTCACACACATGGTTATTGTCTATCCCAGAGTCAAACACCAAAGTGTAAATCTAAATGTCAATCTTCATTTTCATGATAAAGGAATCCAGTTCAAGCAGAGAAGATGCAGACACCACATCTGCACCCAAAGAAGAAGATTACCTACATCACCAAGTCGAATCGTCCACTCAGACAGACAGAGAAATTGAAGCAAATATTTCAACACAAACAGGAGATGATGCAAAGAGAACATCGCCTACCAAGGTCCCGGTGGGAGAGATGGAGAGAACAGATCGAACCAAAGAACCAAGTGAATCTGATATTGTAATTGCAGAGGAGGCGTTTGAAGAGAGCATACAAGAAGAATCGCCCGACAACCAGGCAGCAGGGATCACCGTTAAGGAAACCACTGTCAATGTCATTTATGAGGATGTGTTCAGGGCTGAGAGGATGGAGGTGATCGGTGAATGTGAAATCCAAAATCCTGAAAAAGGGAGTCTAAATGACTCTCATGAAATTGATCCAGAAATCCCAGTACAATGTAAGCCAGTAGAATCCACCACTGAAATACCTGAAGAGGTCAACGTGCCTCAGCTTCAGGAAGGCGAAGGAGGCTCAACAGATGAAAGACTTCTGAGTGAGGCTGCTGAGGCAGAGGTCATCATCCATGATAACAAGGGAAGAAATGACATACCATCAGTCAATGTTGAACCGCTAATCACAATGATGGAAACAATCTCAGAGGAGGAAGAACATTTAATTCTGGAGAGAACAGAGCCAGTCTGTGAAAAAGGTATCAATATCGATCACGGTTATGTTGTGCTTGAGGACTCTTCAGAAGGGTCCACTGCTTGGCACAAAGAACTATCAACCATTGATGAAGTTCCTGAATATCACTTTGATCAATGTTTATGGGACACAGAAGTTTGCACAGATAAACACATTGACGTGACACCTGTTACAAATACAGAATCAGATATTCCTGCAGATGGAAACAGGACAGAAAAGGAGATACAAGAGGAAACAGTTGCTCCTCCATCTCAGAACCCTGACTACGGAATCGCCACGGCTCTGGGACTGGCCAGTGATAGCCACCTGGAACTACAAGCCAACCCTGCAGTTAGATTTGTGTCCTCCTTTGCACACCAAGAAACAGTACCTCCTAATTCAGAGTCAACCTTTGTGGAGACCATTATCGGCACTAACAACAAGCTCACCTCTGGAGAATCTACACAGAAGGAAACCAAGGCAGTCCTAGGAAGTCTGGATGAAGACGTACCCATTCAAGGATCATCATCTCAATGTGAAGTCACAGAGGCATCTGTGCAAGCTGTGGCATACCGCTCGGAACTACTCATCAAAATCCCTGCTGTCCCAAAACAAGCTGTGGAGGAGACCATCATCCCGACTCAAGATGACATGCACTTTGAGGAATTTACACAGAAGGAAACTGAAGTAGAACTTGAGAACATTCATGAAGATACATTTGTCAAAGAATTTTCTTCTGACTGTAATGTCACCAACACATTTGGGGAAGCTGGTTTCTGTTCTCAACCGCCCACTGAAATTTCTGAGACAACTAAGGTTGAGAATGTTACCCCTGCTCCAAATTACGCTGAGAAATCTACACAGATGGAAACTGACATTGTCATTAAAAGAGAAAATACACATATCCACCAATCATCTGATGAGGCATCTTTAGAAGCTGTGGCAGAAGCCAAATGCCCCCCACCACTTGATCAAACACCTCCAATCTGCAAGCCAATTGCAAAGGATGCTCAAAATGAGAATGACTTTGAGGACTTTAATGAAAATGGAGTGGCCCTGTGGAATGTTCATGAAACAATGACATGTGAAGCACAAATAATATCTGAAGGTTCTTCGTCAGAAGACGAATGTTTTGGAACACTCAATAAAATCCTTGAAAACGCCGACCCAACTGTAAAGGAGATGATCATCTCTGCTAAAGATGAGAGCCATTTTGAGGAAACATCTTCGGAAAACCCTGCAATCTCGGATGTACCCAAAGAGGAAAATGACAGTCCTCCCAATGATCAGGGGTTGACCGTAATCATGCATTTTGTTGAAGGGATGTTTGAGAACCTTGACGTTTGTCAAATCAGACATAGAGAAAGATGTGATTTACAACTAGAACCATTAACAGAAGAGGATCTGGATTCATGTAGCTCAGTCCATGAGGAACAAGTAGAAGAGAACAGTGTTGTCCAAACTGAGGAAACTCGCAAACCTGATGCTCAAGAGTCTCTGTCCTTGATTGATATGGAAGCTCCTCTCTCTTCTGGTGATCCCTCACAGGAAATCACTTCTCTTCCTGAGCATCAACCCACAATCCTCAAGACAAGTGGATTCATAGAGGAAGCAGATAAAAAATTTGACAAACATGATGCTTGTGTAGCATCTTCGACATGCTTTAAGACTGTCATCAAGACCATCGTTGGGGAAATTATTTCACCGGATGCTGTTGAAGCTGAATCTTGCCTTAGGGCCTCAGAGGATGAAGCACCAGAGATGAACTCAGAGGCTGAATCAAGTGTGGACACAACAGAAATTAGCCCTACGGAAGGGTGGTCGAACCAAAAGTTGGAAGACCAAGAGCACATGGAAGCTTTACTTGGGAGGCTGGAGTCTTCATGTGCATCTGTTGTTGAAGAATCACCCTACAGACTTGAAGGTTTTGACATATCTTCATCAGGTCACAACATCATAGTTGTCATCCAAGTAGCTTCAGAAGAAGAGTAGCAGTGAAATACAACATCAATTTTGTTTGCCTCTTTACATTTTTTTTTTATCTTGTGCTTTCAAATGTACAGTACAGATCAGCTCAGGGTGTAGTCTGCCTTCTGCCCCAAGTCAGCTGGGATAGGCTCCAGCACCCCCCGTAACCCTGTTCAGGACAAGCAGTGTTGAAAATGGATGGATGGGTGCATGGACATTACACGGACGGGAATGTAACTGCATTTTGATTATGTCTAGGCACCTGTATTTTTACATATATAATTCACCTTGCAATGTCATAATGTTGACAATAAAATAAAAAATGTAGCTTTGCAGGCTTGACGATTCTTAGTTGGATATTTCTTCATGTGAATTACAGTGGTGAATCTCAAGTTTGAATCTCGCCCATGGCCTTTCTGTGCAGATTTCTTCCCGTAATTGAAAGTGTTCTCTGTGGTCCGCTTCCTCCGATGGTCAAAACACCACTATAAAAATTGAAAAAGTACACTGGGGTCATTGGGATTCCGAAATTGCTCACAAACAAATGCCAGATTAATTCAATACCGTCAGTTGTCTTTAGTTTTGACAAACACATCAGATTTATTATAACTGTGATGATTTCAATTGTTTAATGGTAATAATACTAATAATACATCAAACTTACATTGCACTTTAAAGACTCTCAAAGACACTGATAATGTTAAACATTAAGAGGGTGGTCAGTGTGAAATGTGGGAGCAGGTGTTTATGTAACAGTCAACCACAGAGACGGAATGGCGTCCACCATGGTGAGATGCAGAGAATTCCCCGATAGGAGGCTATAAATGAACGCAATGGAGACGGCAAAGAAGCCTGGAGCCCACCACCAAGACAATGATCTCCAATTAAGGAGAGGTCTGTTAGTCGAGCCTGAAGAGGCACACAGACGTTCATGTCAATGCCATGAATGAACCTGGAAAGAAACCAACACTGGAGTGGACGGCGACCGCTACTGATGAGTGGCAGAGGGTTACGCAGGCCCCACCACAGCGTGGCAGATGAGCGCTAGCTGATGGGGAGAGACAGAGAGAGAGAGAGAGAGAGAGAGAGACAGAGACAGAGACAGAGAGAGAGAGAGAGAGAGAGAGAGAGAGAGAGAGAGAGAGAGAGAGAGAGAGAGAGAGTGCATTTTGCTAACTGATCAAAGCTGTTTGTCTGAAATTCTTCCTGCCTTGTTTTTTTTTTTTAGTTTATAATATTGGGTAAAATCTGCAACATTGAAGAAAGATGACTTTGGTTCACCGTGCAGTAATTTTAGCCCCTGATATTCCACTCAAAGTAAAGCTACATCTCAGGCGAATGATCGTCTCTCTATAGAGGGCATGGTACAAAAGTGAACATGAACCTTCGGAGTAAATCATGAACTGAATGACAAAGCACTGAATAATTCTTTAAATGAATCTTTCAAAAGAGTCATTTTAATAAACTGATGGTATTTATTAATCACAATCAAAAGCAATTGCCATTCACATCACTAATACTGAAGAGCCTGCCATTCCAAGGAAACTCATTGACTTCTATATGTAAATAAATAAACACATAAGGACATTAGATATCAATAGTATTTGTCCATAATGTTGGAGGTCCAGATTGGGAAGGTAAGCTAGTCCAGAAATGAAAAGACTGGTAGACCTTCTAAATTTGTTTGTTAGTTCATGTTCGGGTTTTCTTTTTTTTGTTTGTTTCTTTGCTTATTTTTCGGTGGGGGGTTCCATTTTTTTATTTTTTTTTTTTTGCACATTTCTTCTGCATTACCATAGCTGCCCTAATACTGTATTAACTCATATAAAATTGCCAATTTCCTTCGATGTGCTGAGAGGAGTGTAAAAAGGCAGTGGAAAAGAATCAACCCAATGACAAAGTGGCTGTCGTTTAAAAAAAACAAGACAAAAAAAACCTGATCCCTACCCAATTCAAATATCTCTGACAACCTAAATGTGTGCAAAGATCAGCAGAAATAAAGACACTGTTTCACTCAGTGACCCAGAATGACTGCTTGACTTGGCTTGTGTTAACTAAAACATCATTGGCTTTGCCTAAAATTAGCCTCAAAGCTAGTCAGCAATTAGCTTGGTGGAGGTCACCAGAATCCTCCATCTCTTACATATGTATGTTTAACATTTTACCGCGGCAACAAGCAACCGATGTTCAGCATAGGATATATATTTCATAAGTATTTGTTACTTCATGGTACTGAACTAAAATATAATATAAATACATTAATAAATTAAAATCAAGGGTAACTACTTCAAAGACCCTCATCATTGGGACACAGCAAGGTATTTGGATTTTCTAACGATTCTTGAGACATTGCCATCCAACATACTTGAATATCAATGAGTGAGGGGGGTGTGGGAGATGCGCCTTCATAAAAGGGTTATTGTTTACAATGTGCGGAGTAGGCAGAGGCATGGTTGGAATTGTGCTCCCATCTCAATGCTGTGATTAAGATGCTGCTGCACTGCTGTGATACTGCATTACCCTCAAAAGGCTAACTCTGTGTGATGGTGCTTAGGAGACAGCTAACCAAAAGCCAGAGGCACTGACGGAAGCAGAGAGCGGGACTCCAGAACAAACTGACGACGCTAACTATCCACCTGCAGAAGAGGAGACTAACCCAGAAGAGAGTCCAGTTATGAACTTCTTCAAAAATTTAGTGAGTAACACACTTGAAATGTAAACATGAAAACTTGGATCATTTGGTAAGCTTGTGATAATTTGGTTGTTTCTTTTCAATCACCAGGCCAAAGTAATTGAATGTTTTCATAAAAAGAGTTCAATTTGCACTTCTTCACTTATCTCAACCACATAATTGCTTTTTTTTTAAAAGCAGTCCTGCTGCTAATGTTATTTATAAATCATAATGATGACCTTGTCAGTACTGTACCAGCAAAGCTATCTGTAACAAATTATGCCCTGCCGCACAACGGGCAGCCATTGTGTTTCCTCTTCATCATGCCGTCGTTGGGAACGTGTGGCATTTTAAAGAGTTACAGTTCCCTCGTGCCATGCTAATCAAGGCTTGGAACATGCGGTGGAATGTGGCGGCCCATTGTTGGAGCCATCGTGTGAGCTCACAAGGGAGGCCTGTGTGGCTGGAAGTTCACATTGGTAAAGATAGAGCGAGGGCAGGCCTACGCCATCTCCAGAGCACAATGGCCGCCACTCTGACAGCGATGCAGTGTGTACACACGGCCTTGGACAGCAGTGAACACTTATTTTATTTGAAAGCCCTATTCTTACTTTCATGAACGGCCTACTTCCTCATGTGCCTTATGCTCAACCTTAGCAGTTCTAATAATAATAATAATAATAGGGCTGCAAGGTTTAATAATGTAATGTTTGGGCATCCTATTATTCTATTTTGTGTTTTTGTTTTCATGGCAGAATTTAACGGTGACTGTCCCTTCCATTGCTCGGCAGATGACACCCACTAAGACATCCAAAAAGGAAACTCCTGAAGTCCCAAAGGATCAGGTGACCATGACACAATGATAGTAAAATCAAATGGTCACACAGTAGATGACCACAATTCATCCAAAAGGACATCGTCCAATTGGTTGTTGATGAAACTGTAGTCTCGCCGACGGGATCAAGTGGGTCTGTTATTTTTTTCAAATTGATCAACCAATCTTAAGTGTTGAAAATGGCTTGTTCTCTTTGACAGTACAATGTTTTGGCTCAACAAACATGCTGTTTTCTTGGGTTTCCTAAAAAAAAATGATGCTTTTGGAGATGTAAGGATTTGCACGATGCCAGAAATGTCTTTACCTAATGTCTCAGGATGACTATGCTCAGTCTGCTTCCTCATCGTTTTGCTTTTTTGAATGTTTATAGATGGACGGGGGATTCATCGATTAGTTTGAGTACATTGCTCATTATTGGGGTTTTTTTTGTTGTTGTTTTTTTAATAACAGCATCAGTAGTTCAAACATGTCTTTGCTGACTTGCACTGCTGTACTAATAACATGGGTGCAAACAGAGAGGAACTCGTCAGGGTTGCTAAAATCTTGTCCGACCACAATTGTTACTTGTGAGGCCAGAGAAAGGAAATCATGCAGTCAATCGTGCCGGACATTGCCAAAGACATAGTCCCCATTTATCCAATGCAAAAGCAGCGCTTTATCAATTTTATCGAAAACTTTTACCTTGTGGTATGTGCTTCCAAGCCGCAATTTTTTTATGAATGTCGCCTTGCCTCACCAGTGCAACTCCACATAAGAAAAGAACGACACAGCTTGTAGTGGGCGCATATACAAATATAAAAGTTGAAGATATACGGACCAGGCGAGCCATGTTCTTTGATACATACATGGCAATGGCGAGTGATGAAAAAAGCGGAAGGGGCGTGGCCTGGACGGGGGCGTGGCCTGGACGGGGGCGTGGTTACTTACAAAAGTGGCACTAAACATGCTGAAGATGAAGTGTATTAAATTTACACAGTTTGAAAATTGAACAGAAAAAAATCCCAAGATCGCCACTATTCTTTCAAGTGAAAATTTGTGCAATTTTGCCTATGCATTCCTGGTGAGCACCAATATGTAACTCCAAATTTGCTGCTAAAAATCAAAACAAAAAAAGTAAACACATCCCCTGCCATATTTAAGATTTGTTCATGACTTGTATTCATAAAGTGTTGTGTAAATGTGATAAAAAGCTGTTGATTCTTACCTCATACAGTGATAGTGAATATTTATTATGCATACAATTTATTATGCATAACCGTGCTTTATTATCCAAGACAAAACGTGAATTATCAATATGAATATAAAACGCAAATAAAAACAAATAAATGTTATCATGCTGTTGCTACAAATGCATACCAAATAAAA